CGTCTTCTCTTGTACTTTTCTGCTTCAGCCCTAGAATCATTTTTTTCTTAGGAACCCCAGTTCTGTTTCATAAAGAATGGTATTTAGAAACCAAGATTTGGGAGCTAGGTGTGCTCATTGTTACTGGGGTATAATTGCTTGCATACCCTTTCAGGAGAAAGAGCAAACAAACAAATGTATCTTATGTATATATATGTCTGTGTATGTATGTACACATATACATACATAAATCTGTAAAACCCAAGAGTTCATGTCATTGCTTCTGATTCCAATCCCCCATCCCTCCCTCCTTACTCCCTGTTTGTAACTCCCTTCTCTGACAGTAAGAAACCTGGCCCCCATTACCCTTGATGAATCTGCTTATTCGCTCAATCCTTCCAAAGATGAGCAAACTCCTGGCCCTGCCTATTGAAACTCAGCCCCGGACACACCAGTCTCCACCCCCGCTTTCACCCCCAGGCACGCCAGTCAAAAGCTTTGCCTCCATGAAGGGGAAAGGGAAGAAAAAAGGGCATGTTAGAAAGCTGGGCCCCTGACACTCCATCCCCCACCTCCTGGGTATGCTGGTCAAAATCTCAGTCACTAAGTCACTTTTTAATCTATGTCTGTTATATTGTTCGGTTCATCTTTTTCATTTACAAATTTGCCGTAACTTTTATTTTGATTTATATATTTTCAGATTTTTACTCTTTTACTGCAGCCAGTTCTGGCTTTTAAAAAATTATAATAATACTGTATCTAACATGTATGGAGCACTTATTATTGGCTTGTTACTGAGCTAAGTGTTTTTACATGGTTATCTCACTTAATTCTCAAAGCAAGCCCATGAGATTGATATGATTTAAATCCTCATTTTACAGATTAGGAAACTGAGGCACAAATTAGGTAATTTGCTAGTGCCATCCACACATGTAGAACATAATACAGCTAGAAATGGATTTCAGGCAGTTTGATTCCTGAGCCCATGTTCTCAACCATTCTGGACCAATTGATTATAGGTATTTAAACTTTCCTCTTTGCTCACCTCTTTCCTCAGACATCAGTTTCTAGGGTTATCCTGCTGCTCTCCTTCAGGGTACCGGTTTTCCTCAGATACTTCTTGGCTGTTGATTACCTGCCGTTTTTGTGAATGTTGATCTTTGAGAATGCAGGTTCTGTGATGAGAGTGTGCTTCTGGTGAGTGTGGGAGCCTCTGCTAGCTATTTTTTGCTATGAGGCCTGTCTGTCTGTCCTGGCAGTTACTTGCTGCCAGAACATCACTCTGCCTCTCTGGCCCCGGTCCCCAGACAGTGCCTTATCCTGGGGCCAACACCACTGCTAACCCCTGCTCAGCACAAGAGGAGCAGGGAAAAGGGTTTCACCAGCCCTGTCGCTCCAAATTACATATCCTGGTGGTTGCCCCAGGGTACCCTCCCATTCTTGGGGTCCATTGACTCTGAATTTGGAGCTGTTCCAGAACCACTTCCAGCTCCAAAGCAGGACTTTTCTGGGAGTATTTTAGGCTGTGGTTTTTCTCTGATCTTGTTTCTGTTAATTTGATACCATTTGCTTTCTGTCTTTTAGGGGATGTCTCAATTTTTCTAATTCATTTATAAGAAATAAAATACTTCTGCATGACAAACTACTATAAACAAAGTCAAAACGCAAAAGACTGACAAAAAATCTTTGCAGTTCTCATCACAGTCAAACGACTGTGTTATAGGATGAAATTTACCTCCTCCACCCCTTCCTCCTACCTTTTCTCCTTTCTCCCCTTTTTTTCAAATATTTCCCACTTTATGGGATTTGGGGTTCAAGGGGAGGAACAGTGGATCTGTACACCTAGTTTTCTACCTGGTTCTGTCCTTATCTCTCTAATTCTTTTTTTTTTTTTTCTGAGATAAGATCTCCTTCTCATGCCCAGGCTAGAGTGCAGTGACATCACCTTAGCTCACAGCAACCTCAAACTCCTGGGCTCAAGTGATCCTCCTGTCTCAGCCTCCTGAGTAGGTGGGACTACAGGCACTCGCCACCATGCCTGACTAATTTTTTTGTCTATTTTTTGTAGAGACACGGGGTCTCACTATGTTGCTCAGGCTCTGTCACCCAGGGTAGAGTGCAGTGGCACAATCATAGCTCACTACAGCCTCGGACTCCTGTCACTTCTCTAATTCTTAATCTCTGGTGGACACTATCACATTCAAAATAGCATAATCCTTCGTTTTAGTCAGGGTTCTCCTTCAAAACAGATTCAGTAGGAGATAGACATTGATTTTAAGGAATTGGCTCATGCAATTGTGGCAACTAGAAAGTCTGAGATTTGTAGGGCAGGATTGCGGGCTGGAAATTCTGGGAAGAGCTGATGTTGCAGTCTCGATTCTGAAATCTATAGGCTAGAAATTCAGACAGGGTTTCAATGTTGTAGTTTTGAGTCAGAATTGCATTTTTTTCTGGAAACCCCAGTCTTTGCTGTTAAGGCCTTCACCTGATTGGATGGGCCCACTCATATAATGGAAGGTAATTTGCTTCACTCCAAGTCTACAGATTTAAATGTTAATCACATCTTACAAATACTTTCACAGCACCATGGAGACTGGTATTTGACCAAATAGCTGGGTACCATAGCCTAGCCAAGCTGACACACAAACTTAACTGTCACAGCCAGCTTTCCTATTCTTCCCCTTTTCACTGCTCATAGTTATTCATGTTATTCATTGTTGTTGATGTGAAGCAAGTTCACAACATGTTGACTCCTGTGCTCGGCTACACGACACTTCCCAGGCACCTGTGCTATAATAGTGATCGTAAGGGTGTCATTCTTATTCAGGTGTCAGAGTCACTCCAAGGTTTTCCCAACCCTACCTGGAGGGAAGCTCTCTGGGGACTAGGGTCTCAGTGGAGTGAATTTCCCTTCCCTGACTTAATTGTTTTACCAAATTTGTCTCTCACATTTTCCTATCTTTTACTGCCAATATAATCATAGCAAATATAACAGCATCCCTTGTATATTTGTGACATGATGCATTCTTGAGAAATATCATTTTTTTTTTTTTTTGAGACAGAGTCTCGCTTTGTTGCCCTGGCTAGAGTGAGTGCCGTGGCGTCAGCCTAGCTCACAGCAACCTCAAACTCCTGGGCTCAAGCGATCCTCCTGCCTCAGCCTCCTGAGTAGCTGGGACTACAGGCATGCGCCACCATGCCTGGCTAATTTTTTCTCCATATATATGTTTAGTTGTCCAGATCATTTCTTTCTATTTTTTGGTAGAGACGGGGTCTCGCTCTTGCTCAGGCTGGTCTCGAACTCCTGACCTTGAGCCATCCACCCGCCTCGGCCTCCCAGAGTGTTAGGATTACAGGCGTGAGCCACCGCGCCCGGCCTACGAGAAATATCCTTTTTTTTTTAAGTGATGTTGTTGGGGTGCCTGCTGTGAGTTCATCAGCCAAAAAAAAAGGCATTTTTCCTCCATATTCAAGAGGATATTTAGGTCATGCTATCCTTAAATATGTAAGGTCAAACTGGCTCCCTGAACCCCCCCAGCAGAGTGTTAACAGACCTGTGCTCTCAGGAGCTTGGTCAAAGCAGATAAATTGGATGAATAGGAAGTGAGGGTGAGGCCTGAGGTTAGTGCTTTCAGGAAAGGAGGAATGTATCCAGCTGTCAAGAAAACCTCACTGAGGCCGGGGAGAGGAGTATCCGAGGCACTGTAAGGAGGCTGGATGTCTGCGGATCCTGAGTAGTGACCCTGGTTGTCACAGGGGCTCCTGTAGCTAAGCCTGTCTGTGACGAAACCCCTGGGAGGGCCATTTCAGAGTCCTGCCTGGAATGGCAGTGGAGTCCACATCTGCCTAGCAGAAGTTACACTGATGACCTTCTTGGGGATCTACCATGACCAAAGTCACATCTCCCCCAATTGTTCTGGACTAGACAACCTCAGGATTCTGGTATGACCTGAAGGAAGGGGCAAGAGTCTCAGAAAATGGCTGGTATGACTTCTTGCCGACCATGGCGAGTGCATCTCAGAGCCAGATTTTATTTAGTTGAGAAAAATAAAGGTATGTATCATCCTCATGCTTTGAGTACTGTGGAGCAGTCTTTACCTATTTAGTATGTGTTCTTTTAGATCTGACCTCATTCTCGGGTTCCTTCAGCTAGATCTTGTCTTTTCCCCCAAAGCCTGCTCTGTGGAGTTCCTTCCTTTACTCAGAATATCCCTTCTGCCTGGAGTCTGTCTCCACTCAATTCTATCAGGAAATATATGAGCCCCTGCAGAAAAAACTCCCGGAGTTCCTCATCCTTCCTGCAGAAAATGATTATTGTCTTTATGTGTGGTCAGTTTGTATTACCTAAAACCCCTGCTTAATGCAATGCCTGCATCTCCTCAAAGTAAGCATTTTTCTGCAAGGTCAGCTAGAGTTCCCAGACTCTGTTCCATGATATGCCAGCTTGGTAAGAGGCTAATCATCCCACCAAACTCTTTGTCCAATAAGTTTGGGAAACATAGCATATCAGTCAGTGCTTGATTTTGGAAAATCAAATGCACATCAATATATTGAAGATTATGAGAAGTCCTGTTAAACTTTATTTGACTCAATAGTGTCCATACTTCTTTAACTGCAGGACAGTTTTCTCATGGCACACCTATTGGCATCACCAGTCCTGGAGACCCAGTTTGGGAAATTTGTGCAGTGGAAGGAGCACTAGATTTGCAATGAACGGAACTTTGTCCTGGTCTACTTGACCCCCCTTGATGGGATCACTGTGCTTCCATGGAGCAACCTCTTCCCATTTGCAAAATGAGTGAGTAGACTTGGTGTTTTTAATCAGACCCATGACCAAATTTGACTTTTTGGTGATCACAATTAGGAAATTGGGGCCTGTGAGAGGAGCTTAGAGTTTATCCAAGAATAAGGAGAGAGCACTAAATAGCAGCGACGTCAGACAGATCTGGGCTGGACCCCTGCTTCCTCCTTCCCTCCAATTCTGTGACCCCAGGCAAGTGGAGTTAATAATGACAACTCTGGAGAGAGCGGGACGTCCGGCTTCTCACTGGGAACCCTCGTGCCGTCAGCAACCAAAGAGAGAATTAACTATGGGTGATGTTGAGAAAGGCAAGAAGATTTTTGTTCAGAAGTGTGCCCAGTGCCACACTGTGGAAAAGGGAGGCAAGCACAAGATTGGGCCAAATCTCCATGGTCTCTTTGGGCGGAAGACAGGTCAGGCTGCTGGATTCTCTTACACAGACGCCAATAAGAACAAAGGCATCACCTGGGGAGAGGATACACTGATGGAGTATTTGGAGAATCCCAAGAAGTACATCCCTGGAACAAAAATGATCTTCGCCAGCATTAAGAAGAAGGGAGAAAGGGCAGACTTGATAGCTTATCTCAAAAAAGCCACTAATGAGTAATAATTGGCCACTGTCTTATTTATTACAAACCGGAAATATCATAACTTTTTTTATGTGTACCATAATTTAATTGGTCTCATACATCAGAATTCAGATCATGAAAGAGTGACAGAATATTTTTGTTGGACAGTCCTGATTTAACTAAGACTGGCTTGTGGTTAATTCGGTTTTTTGAATTTTGATAGTAATTCCAATACAGTAAATGCTATCACTGTTTTCCCCTTCTGAAGATATGATTGGATTAATTAGTAGTGTTCAACTTTTCACAAGGATGGTAAATTGCCATTT